GTGGAAGTAATAGTGGAGGAAAATCCAAGACAAAAACTGTCTTGGATACCCGTTAGAACATCAGGGAATAAATGAAGGGCATCTGCATCACATAGCATATGGTCCCACTGCTGCCAGAGCAGAGGGGTGACAATAGGGAAAAAGTAGTTACGCAGGATGGGATTGCCCATTGTGTTCACTGGACCCGCAGTGAGTGCACTGGTGAGCATACTTGCAAGGGGCGGTGTTACAGTAACACAATTTTTGGACCTTTCCTTTAATTTTCATTCTCCGCTTTAACCTTTTTACTATAATTCACACTCCGAGCCATGCGGCACTTTCCTTTTTGTTCTAACTCCACTTTCTCGTGCAACACTGCCTTTATTCTTCTTTTAGACACAAAGTCTAGGTACAAAGCTCTGCTTGTCCAAAAGGACAATGACAGTAAGTTTTTAACATAGGACTGCATGGCCAAAAATTGAGAAATGCGTTGCTGCTCAAGAATCTCATCCCAAACAGCCTGGTGGAAGATGGTGGGCAAGAAAGTAGCCGAAAGGCAGACATAAGCGGAACAAATGTAGATGTCATATAGGACATAAAGGGGGAAATGCACCTGGAGGTTACTATGGTTGAAGAGTATTTAGTAGTGACCGTACCACAGGTTTGCAATTTTGTGTCAATGTGGAGAGTTCAAGTATTGATCAATAAGCTCGATGAAGTGGGTGGCAGCTTTATGGAGGTCACTGTAAGTGATACCCCGTTTGACAAAGGAATCAAGCTTAGCTTCTTTTAGCTTAATGCAGCCATCTGCAAAAGAGACGATCCCGCTATAAGAGGGATTGACCAAAAGGGCAGCGCAAGAGCGCTCATTGGTGAGTAATTGGATAGGGAAGTACCCAGTCCACCCTGCACGCATGATCTTTATGAATGTGTCAGGGTGGGCACTGTCTGACCAGGAAAACTGTTTAAGGCAAGCAGGGTCAGGCAATAAATAAACCTGGGGAGGCGCAGAGGAATTGGCCACAGATCAGGAGGCAAGTTCTGGCGAGGGATAGGTCAGTACTCCAGAAGAGCAGGTAGAGTATGGAAACGCGTGAAGGAGCACATGTAGGCGTGAATGGAAGGCACTTAAGCAGATACTGGAGTGGACATAGGCACGAGCAATGTCGGAGATTTCCTATACTGGTTGCAAGAGCACGTGATTGGGTTGGTGTGATAAGCAGCGTGCAAGCAGTGTAGCTTACTAACAGTCGGCCGGTTCGGTTGCAACCAGATGGCAACCGTATTGCGTCCGCACCGATTCGCTCTCACCAACGACGACGTCCTTCAATCTGTCTGTACATAGTCAGCTTCGCCCATAACTGTATATCTGTACTGGCTTCAAGCTCTATCCTCAAGAACTCTGTATCAACAACTCCTTGATAAACATGCCGAAGGACAAGCAAAAGGTTCCCAGTGTGTATCTCCACACAGAATCTATTGCTCTCGACAATCACGATGATGGCCTCAAAGCTTGCCCTTCCTGCGGGGGACGTTTCAAGCCTATGGGCCTCCCCAGACACAAAGCAACATGTATAAAGCGGATGGCAGATTTGGCGCAAGACCTTCAATTAGACAAGCAGCTTCGGAAAGAAAAAAAAGAAGGTAGGCAGATCAGTCTGACATGGAAACTGAGTACTCATTAACGTTTCTGCTTAGCGAAAAAACTAGAGAAACAATTTGCAGTGGGATCTTTGTCAAAACATGTATGGGAAAACACCGACACCAATTTTGACGTAGAAGATAACTATGGTAGGTATATATCAGTCTGGTGCTTGTCGGTCGTTACTATTTTATCTTTACAGGATCATCTCGTTTTCATGATGCACCCCCTGTCGGGCTGAACTTCATGGGGGAAAGTCTTCAAATAGATGATATCAAAACTGAGTACCACCCTACAAGTGGCCGCACTGCAAAAGTGGACCATTTCTCTGATTTCAAACGTGGATTTTCTGGCAAAGCACGCATCAAAAACTCATGTCCGTGGCAGCCATTCAAATCCCGGGTCGACTTTGAATTTGCGGAGGTCGCTCTTGAAGCAGCGTTAAATAAAGACCAGATAAATAGATTAGTCAAGGTCATTCACCAGAGTATACAAGACCCTGGCTCGTTCACTCTGAAAGATCAATCTGACCTTTATGAGACATGGAAGATTGCTTCTCATGCCCTAACTCCGGTTTGTGATATTGTACACATTTATTGCGTATGAGAACTGACAACAAATAAGTCCAGTTTGAAAAGACTGTAATCAATGTACCATATCAAGGCAAAGACCATTCCTTTGATGTTCATTTTCGTTCGCTGTGGGATTGGGCATTGGACTTATTAGGGAACCCGCACCTCTCAGAGCACTTTGTATTTGATGCCGAACGGCTTTCCAAATTTAACGGTGACAATTTTGTACAATTCATTGACGAACCATGGACAGCTGGGGATTTCTGGGATATTCAAGTACGTGATGTTGAACTTATTTGCTATTGTATACAATTAATGTACATGTTGTAGTCAAGGCTTCCAGATGGTGGAAAGCCTCTATGTTTTATTTTATATGCTGATAAAACAATTCTGTCTTCTTTCGGGACTGTAAAGGGCTATCCCGTAATTGCACGATGTGCAAACTTGCCCACTGATATCCGAAATGGTACAGGTGTCGGAGGTGGAAGAGTTGTAGGGTGGCTTCCGGTGGTATATATTATTCAATCCACACTATTATACAGAGCATAATGGTTATTCATTACAGGTGCCGGAAGATGAGGAACATAAGGGTAAAAAGAGTTTTGCTAACTTCAAGAATGTCGTATGGCATGAATCATTTTTGAAAGTTGTTGAATCTTTAGAACTTCACGCCAAGACTGGCTATTATTATCAGCGCACTGAGGGTGATGTTCTTTATCTTTTCCCTATTATTTTGATACTTTCTGCTGACTACGAGGAACAGTAAGTAAATTCTTTGTATCCATCAACTAGTTATTTATCCTTCATAGATGTGCAATGTCTTCATTACGTGGGACAAATTGTAATTTTCCGTGCCCAATATGCCTTGTACCGAGGGACAAACTTTCAGATACAACACAGACATTTACTTGTCGGACCAGTGCTCATTCAGAATCTATATTACTAGAAGCGGAGCAGCAGCAAACAGCGGCAGACAAGGAAATTGTCCTCAAAAACTGTGGACTTCGTCCTGTTAAGGTGAGATATCTTTAATACTGCTATATTATGCTCATATGGGATAAGAATGTCTTTTGGAGGTTCCGTTACTCTGATGTGCATCAAGCATTATCTTGGGACCGGCTACATGCACATAATAGTGGCCTATGGGGCCATCATCTCTGGAAGGAGTTTCTATTCTGGATAGAAGCAGAGGGCCGAGCAGCATCCCATCAGCTTGATGATCAGTACGCACTCTTATCTTATTAACACTTATAACATATATTAAATCACACTAGGTTCAATGGTATGCCTCGTTGGCGAAATCTGAACCATTTTGACAGAGTGGCTAGCATAGAATTTTCGGATGCAACAAAGCATGAAGATATATCCAAGGTATAATCAGTATGGTTCGTCCTTCGTCGTTTTTTAAATACCTATTGTAGATGGTTATCTTTGCTTCGCACAATATATTTGATGTTCGATTACACAAGCCAGCACATCTTCTTTTGAAGAGCATTCGCCTCTTCCTTGATGTTGATATGTATACAGGACTAACAGTTCACACGACAGAGACTATTGCAGCTGGTAGACAAGCTTTGAAGCTATTTTCACAAGCTATGGATGTAGGTTGCCATCATTATTTTTCATTAATTATTAAAGACTTGTGCAGGAATATTTAAAGGCGGCAGATGGACTTAGAGACAAAAGTTGGAACTTTCCGAAGATGCACATGAATAAACATGCATTTGAAGACATCGAAGCAAAAGGCGTAACCCGGAACTACAATACAAAACCAAACGAGCAGTTACATGGCCCACTCAAGGATTCTTATCGATTCCGAACAAACTTCAAACACGTTGCTGAACAGGTTGGTCTGTCTAATTTATAAGGACAACCAGTATCTGATATCATCACTTAGATCCTTCAGGCTGACCATTGGTGTCTGGTGTCATGCTTTATCCGCCAGGATATAGCAGCTTTTGATAGCCAGTTAATGGGTGATCTTGAAGGGGATGAAGTTGACTTGAAGATCACCGAAACGAGTCATGTGTCCCTAGGCTCAAAGTGTCCTGCAACATCATTTCAAGGCCTGGAAGAAGCACGCAAGGATGATACAGCATTCACAAGCTTTCGTATAAGGCTCTCAAATTACCTTAACATATTTTTCAGCGCAAATAATATAGCATTCCCTGGTGGGAAACACATCAAATTGGGGGCTGAAGACAAGATTACAGAATATTGTTTCATGAAAGTTGACTATGAATCTATAGTCGATTGGTGACAATATACCAATTACCTTCGATGTAACCCTTGGTTTTACAATCATCCACGATATGATTGTGTCCTACTGCAAACAGTGGACTCAAGGATTTTCGCTCGCCTCATCATGCTATTTATTTGTACCATTGATCAGGTTGATTATCCGTTTGCGCTGGTTCAACCATATGATGCTCCAGTAGGTCGGCGGCGACACAAAGACAAGGACCTTGGGCTCTGGCAAATTCGGGCAAAGTCACGCTCAGATGCTGAGTTCGTCCCTCTTTGTTCAATAGTTCGTGGTGCAGCTATGGCCCCAGACTACGAAGTTTCTGGCGACTTCTTTCTCATTGACACAGTCAATTCTGATTGGTTCTTGCGCACAAAGAAGATGTGGTCCGAATTGCCAGCGAAGCATACCTAAGGACAACTGGGAACAGACAAGCAGTCCCTAGTATGGATATTCCGTCGTTCTCCACCTTTGGCTTCAGTCTGCAACGTTCTTACCCTTTCATTTTTCATTTCTGTCGTCTATCATATCCTAGTTATTGTTTAACGGACATTTCTTGTTCATGGCTTCGAATATTCCTGTGAGCTTTCTCTATCTTTTACTTGCTCGTTGCTGTGACTTCATCGCTCATTGCGCGCTCATTTAATAGACACGGCGTGTAACGCGGACGACTCGTACAACAACTCTTAAAGATAACGAGAATGCCAATGCTCGTCCATCGCGTCTTACTGCCCGAGTGAAACCCCCATCATCGAATGGCTCTGGTACTGCTACGATTGGTGGTCTGACCTGAGCTACTGCTGCAACCGCTGCATCTTGAGCAAAGGCGAACGGTAATGATGAGAACAAGGTCAATCTCGCCGTTCAAGGGAAGAGAAAGCGTGAGGCTCTGGGAGAAGTCACGAGATTTGTGAACAAGAACAAAACCACTAATGTTCCAGCTAAGGAAGTCAAAGGGAAGAGGAAAGAAGCTGATCCCGTCAAGGAGGTTAAGGAGAAATTTGATGGCGTCGTGATCAAGTCAAAACCGTCCCTGGTTGCTGCAGCAAGGCAACCGTTGTGCACTGTCTCAGGTTCTACGACACGTCTTGCCACAAGGAGTACAGTTGTGGCACCTCAAGTGCAGAATCTGGACAAGGTGAAGGAGGAGTCTGGAAAGGTTGCAGATGAAGATGCCATGGCAATTGATGACCATCCAACTACCAATGCAGCTCCCTCAGCAGAACCTCAGCCACACCGGGTCTCGACAAGACGTTCGGGTTTAGCTTTGCAAACCGTTGTAGACGAGACTTGTCCATCAGAGGTTCCAACTCGCCTGCCAACTCGGCCCCCGCAAAGCACGAGGATGACGTCGAGGACAATGGTGTCTTCAAGAAGCGGCGCACGTCCTCAGACATCCCTGACGAAGTGAAACTCTTCGAACAAGAACAGTTACAACAGGAAGCCGAAGAAGCTGCTCTTGAAGCTTACGCAGATAGTGAACCAGAGGCAGATCCCTACGGTGACCAATGGGATGACCTCGATGCCGAGGATGCAGACGACCATTTGATGGTTAGCGAGTATGTGATTGAGATCTTTAACTACATGAAAGAGATCGAGGTGCGCATTGTTTTGACATACTCATTAACTATATCACTGATGATTCATAACGTGCAGCTTACCACTATGCCCAACCCGAACTACATGGAAAGCCAGAAAGAGCTTGCGTGGAAGATGCGTGGAATCCTCACTGACTGGCTGGTCCAAGTCCACGTCCGTTTTCGTCTTTTGCCAGAAACGCTGTTCTTGTGCGTTAACCTTATCGATCGATTCCTTTCCGCACGCGTCGTTTCCCTTGCAAAGTTGTAACTAGTCGGTATCACTTGCCTTTTTGTCGCGGCAAATGTTGAAGAAATTGTGGCTCCATCCGTTGCGCACTTCTTGTACTGTGCCGATTCTTCGTACACTTATCTTCGCCAACGTCTCTTGTTGAAAACGGGAGGGCTCTCGTAAATGCTGCGTGTTATTCAAATGGTTGGGTGAACACCAGTGCGAGTTTTGGCGAATACAACTTTGGTGCGCACTATCTGTCCTCGTTTGGGTATTGTCAATGAACTGAATTCATTCTTAGACCTTTCCGATAGGAAACTATTCAAGTTTGCTTTAGATCCTCCTACTTTAGCGTCGGAGGAACAAGGAAGGCTTGGCTCGTGGGCTCGGGATCTCAAGGACTGGGGGGCAAGCCCGGGCGTTATGGACTGGGACTACTTCACGCTAGATGATTTATCTAGCTTTGAAAGCACAGACTTTGAATATTTGTCTGTTTATTTTCATAGTTATGACCGAAAACGCCCGGGGAAAATAAACAGACACGAGTCCGAAATACAAGATCCTGAACCGCTCACAGACGAGGCTAGGACTTCTCAACGTAGAGCTCGATCTCTTTCACAAGAACCGTCTCCAAATGATTTGGTAAGGCCATCTAAAAGGACCCATTATGACATCTCTCCACTTTTCACAGTGATACCTCAGGTTCGTGGTCTTTTGGCTTAGAGCAACTTTCAACATTAATCGTCCTAAATGGATCGCACAATAGCCCCACTTTTACTCTGCCCGTTTTACAGATTGCCCGCCTAAAACTGCGTTGCGCGTTAAGCCCTATGCCACAACAGACAAAGTACCATTTTCACCATATAATTCCAAATCAGTCCTGGAATATCTGGATACTCCTTATGCTAGGGGAGCTTAGCTTATTCCTGTACGTGGAAGACCACCCTGGGATGACGCAACCGTCACAGTCATATTGGATCCACTACCGGGCGAGGACATTCTGCTTCCCAGTGGCCCAGTATCAGGGGTAGCGAACAATTCTCAGATCGCTTGGACACACCCAGCTCTGCTCGCTTTCTGGGATTTTCTTATATCTCTCAGGGAAGCAAATACTCTTGGACCTATCTCGCTCGAAACTGAGATCCTCCAAGCAGAGTGCTATGTCTTGAAGACGCTCAACTGGAATTTGAGTTATCCCAGCCCAATGCACTTCTTGAGGCGGATCAGCAAGGCAGACGAATATGACGTGAAGGCTCGCACGATTGTCAAGTACTTCCTCGAGATTCAATGCCTAGAGTGGAGATTGTTGGCTGCACCTCCATCATTGATAGCTGCTGCTGCTATTTGGCTTGCCAGGCTGATTTTGGGTCAGGATAAGTGGGTGAGTAGACTGACAGGATGATTATCCGCATTCGTTTGATCACTAAATTTATATTAAACTCCGAACCTTGCTCATTACTCGTCTGACGCCGAGAGTACCATCATTCCTACCGCAAACTTGAAAAAGATTATCTGTAATGGTAACATCATCAGTAGTGGAAACGACAGGAGAAAAGGTGTTTGATGTAATATGAACGTCATACATCCAACGCACCAAAGGCTTGCTGCATCCTCATGTTACAATGTATACATAATGGAAACGCAGCATCCTCGTGTTTCATTTTATGTAAGTCGGCTGCAACTGCTTTAAAATCTCGCTGTTTATGTTTGCCCTCCCAGCATTGACGTGACCCAACATTCCTCAGCCAGATGCCTCAACACGGTGCAAGACGACATGACGGCAATTCAGACTCAGATGAACAAGAGAACTTTAATCGTGTCTTTTCTTCAGAAACAACTGACGACTGTGATGATTCGGAGGAGAGCTGTGACGAACCTGGCAACAAGAAGCACACATTTGGTCACCCACAGACCGTCGGCACATAGACAGGATCTCCTGGCACTTGCGATGCCGGGAGATGGTGCATCCATTGCAGAGCTCAGAAAAGTAAGTAAATGCGTTGCCTTCTGCGGATCATAAAAATCAAGCATCATCACAGGCACTTCAGGCTACGCAACTGCACTTACATGAGATCCGCAATGACAACAGGCGGCTGAAAAGGGACAATGCATTGCTTAAGGCAAAGCAGCCTACACGAGCTCGGGCATCAGCTGTCCCAAAGGAGGTCATTGCTCACGATGAGGAGATTGGGAAGCTCGCAAAGAAATATGGGATTATGGTTGATATGTCGGTAAATTTACTGTGGTTTTGAGCAGAACGGCCAGCTGGATCCGATGTGCCGATAGTGGACTCTCCAAAACGCTATGCATCAGCACTTGCGGAAGAGCAGACGCAAATTAGAGAACTGCATGAATTCATTCCCATCCACTTCCATCGTTTAATGAAGGATAGCCAGCATCTCGGCAACCTGGTATGTCTGTTTTACGCCATTCATTTCATATGTAAAAGTAACAAATTGTTTTTTTATAATCTAAGTTTCAAAAAAGGCTACGCAGTGGCCGTTCAGATGTCATTTTCAAAATTTGTGGCGAAGCCAGCAAAATATTTGGTCTCCCACAGCATTATTTTGAAGTCCTGTTTGACAGGACCTCAGTTCCGGAGCTGAAAATATTACAAGGAGCCAAACTGGTCGGAGAGCAAATAAAGTATGATATGTTCCCACCTGTTCTGTTTCCTGACGGTGTAATGGACATGAAAAATGTCTTTGGAAGTACCGCAATTGCCAAGGTAATGTAGTCACTAAAATCATGTACGAGAACTGACTTACCGTTGTTGCTCAGATTCTCAAAGTCGCATTTCATGGACCAAAGTCACTTGAGGGTGGCCGCGCTGGTGGTAAAAGTAATGCAAAAACATGGGATGTCACCATGAATACTCCAGGATCTCTAGCATGGGGAGCAGTTGTGGTGAGTTAAAAGTAGACTATTCTGAGCGGCTGTCATTCTGATCTTGCTATATAGGCTGTTTTCTTAGTTTCTCCTGACGAAGAATTTCCACATGATGGCAAAGGTGCCAAATCAGGTTTAAAGTACTTTGACCTGTTCCGCAACTACAAGAAAATCCTCATTATGAAAGCTGACAAGAAACAAGTCAAAGAGATATACAAAATCTTTGACCGGTACATTTTTTCTTCACGCAAGACTATTCAGGCAGTTATAGCAGGGCAAGAAGATCACTATAACGAAGAAGTTGAACAAGCAATGGCCAAAATGGATATTTCTTCTGACGAAGATGATATTGGAGTAGTAGTGGCAACCGCTGCACCATCTGCCGTGCAGATTAATGTTTTATCTACTGATAACATTTTCTCTCGCAAGCTCGTTGGCACTGATGGAGTTGATATTTTAGAGGAGGAGGCCAGAGATAATATTACCAATGCACCGGTGATGAAAACCAAGAAGGGTCAAAGTGGTAAAGTGAAGTCTGCAGAAGTAGCTACAGGTAGTAATGAAATTGGCACCACTACTACAAAGCGCACTCGTCGTACCAAGTAGCTATTTGATTTCATACTCTAACATGTTTGTTACAAATCAACCTTTGCTGATACTTGTGTGGTGTTGCAATCACTTCGTAAGTACATTACAAGCAGTCCAGCAAAACAATTAGTTATATTGATGTACACTTCTATAGTAATGTCAGCTCTTTGGCGAAGTGGTTATATTGAAAAAAAAACTTGGTTGCAATGGCTCTTGCAAGTGGGGTGACCGCGGGTTCAAATCCCTGTCAGTACAAATACCATACTTACAATTGGAATAAAATATTGCAATTTATTTTGTCTCTTGCAAAGCCAAAAAAATATTGTTTTTCAGATACTCCTAAAGGGGATACAATATTGATTGCAATTGATTACAGGTTTCAGACCCAGTGATTACGATTAGATTGTAGTTGCATTGCAAAGATAAGGGTTTTCCCGATAATCAATTGCAACTGGTGCCGTTGATTGTGGGCTTGCAATCCAGTGCAATACCTTGCAGCCACTTCCAGAAATCTCCGACAAAGCCCCAACAGGGGAGAGTGCGTTGTCGATGATGAGAACTGTTGTTAGAAAACCACACACAAAAACAAACTAACAAACAATCCTCCCAGATTCCACGGAACTTGTTTATGGGCTTTGCCTCCTAGAACAGTGGGTGCTCTGGTTGTTCGTGGGGTGGTATGTATGAAGGTCCTTCAAAGTAAAACCCAGAGAGGTATGGGTGTGGGTTTTGAGGAGGAGGGATAGTTGAATTTATAGAAGATGGGGGCTTAATGACGAGTATAGATGAGCACTACCTTGCTAATTGTAGCACAAAGTAGGTTTGAGAACGATAAAGATGATGAGGTGACGAGGTTCCCAGTGATAGCAGGCTCCTGATGCACAAACTGTAGTGCTCAGAAGGACTCTAATCGAAAGGGATGACAGTGACTTTCAAAAATGACGAGTGACAATGACAGCAGATAGCAGTGGTAACAGTGGGAAGTATTGTGACCACACTGGATCACAAGTAGCAGAGTAGTGAACTTGAGATTTAGAGAAGAAGTCTGGAATCGAGTTTTTTGTTGTTTTTACAAGGTAAAATACAGGGGTTTATATAGTGAAAAGAAAGGCAGGCTATGCACAGTATAGCTGCGCAAAAAGAATGAGAAAGAACATGAAGGAAGGAATGTACGCTGATGAATCCTGCGTAGTTGCTACAGGATAAGATCATCAAAATAAGGGAAAGAAAGGGATAGAACAATGAATGCTGTGAGTAATGTTACAGGTTTGTACAGCCATAAAGTAAAGTCCAATAGCAAAAAGAGAGCAGGAAAATCATGATGTCATGGGAAGATGCAGTAAAAAAAAGGGGCAAGGAAAAACACTATCAGTATCAACACAGTTCCTTTATTGTCAGTCAGGCATTCTAAAAAAATATGTGTCCATAAAAATGATTCAAAAATCAAAAATAATCGCACTGTAAATGAATGTTCTGCTGAAAAAAAAGAAACTGGAGCCACCGGTCCACCACCTAGTCCACATCCGACAGTTCCATGGCCTTACCAATGGACTGGTTGTGTTGGACCACCTGATCAAACGAGGGAGGGAGAGGAGTAGTTCCAATTTGGAACAAGTGAGTCCCAGGCAGCGTGTGGTAGGTGTAGCTGTAGCAAAGACGATGGACAAAGGATAAGTGTACCCAAGTGAATGGGACAGCGATGAACATGGGCGACGCAAGGGGATGAACCTTCTCCAGCTCAAAAACTACCCACCCACACTCCAACCAGGCAAGATGAGTGACTGATGTTTTGATAGTATGTGATGGCAGATCGACGTCATGAAGATGGACCTGTTGCCCTATTTGGACCGGCCGCCGGGGCTTTGCTGATATCAGCAGTGGCACGTGGTAGTCAACGCATCGGCAACGGAAGCGGATAGGAAGTGGTGACATCAGAAATGGTGAGGGTGCAAATAATATGAGGAGGAGGAGGGTGGAGGTGACGAACAAGTGGACTAGAATGGGGATCCAGAAACGACTGTCAGGTGAGAATAAAAAGGAGAGGAAGGGGCCCATGGTGGGGCTAGGCAAAGGAAGGGGAGTAAGGGAAACGACACAAGCGAGGGCGCAATGCAATGTGTAGCCAGTGGCGACGCAAAAATTTGCCGAAATGCCAAAACACGGAAAGTACCGGATGGAAAAGCAAAGGTGAGCGTGACTGGATTGCCTAATAGAGGTGGTGCTGATCAGCCACAAGTTCAAAACAGGCAATATTAATTACTATTCCACGTGGCACTGTGCCTGTGTGGCGCAAAGGCGAGTCTTTTCGAATATTCGCTTCGTTATTGACACCTGTCCATGCTACCAATCAATTTTGGTGCATGACAGCGTGTATGCACATAGAGGAGTGTGAATAAGGCGCAATAGGTGCTATATGCACAGGTGAGCGCGTGGAGGCACAACACAAGAGAAGGAAGGTATAAAGTGGATGAACAATGTACCTGCCAGGGATAATGGCTCCGGGGATGTTGGAGGAGGCAGCTTGGTTCAAAGGGCAGCAGCATTAAGCAAACTATCTTTGGTGTAGAAACTGTGAGGGGCGGCAGAGGTGGGGATGTGTGGGGAGGAATGAGAGGAAGGGGGGTCAGATGGAGGCGAGAAGGCTTGTTGGGGCAATGACACTTTTTCTTTCCCCTTGCGGGAAAAACCGGGATAAGGGGTGGAAGCAAGATTGGTAGCGGCATGGGAGGCAAACAGGGGAGCAATGTGGTTGTATTTGAAAGGAGAGCAAGGGCAGAGAAGTTGGGATCAGGAGTGGTAGGCTGGCAAGCAGGTCGCTCACCAGTAGGCGGGGGAGTTGAAGGCCTCAAAGGAGGAGGACAGGGGATGGAGGACAAGAAGGCGGCATCAATTTTGTCCAAATAGAATAGAAGGCCAGGCTGAGAGCTGAGAGTGCGTGCAGATTTTGGGATGGGATCCAAGGCTTGTGGAACGGTGGACACCATGTTCTTCAAGGCCCTGCGGGTCCGGGGGGACATGGCCAGAATTCAAAGCTGAGGAAGAGTAGTCAATGAGAGAGACATTGTTGAACAAGGACAAGAGACTGCCGGAGCATTTTGTGGCAGGAGCTCATTCTTAAGACTCAGTCTTGGTATGAGTTCTGGCTCCCGTGAGATTGTTCCTCACTCCCAGAGCCTTCATTTCACTTAGGTTCACTCACATGGTTTTTGTGGCACCACAGGTGTAGAAGGTGCCTCAGGTGCCTGACACTTGCAGCAAAGCTGCAATGAGTGTAGCCAATAGTATGTGCTACGTTGAGGGATGGTGGTGCCAAATGCCATGTGCAAGCCATGTTGCATCGGTTATTCCGCTTAGGTTTGCTTGCATGGTTTTTGTGGTAACACAGGAGCAGTAGTACAGTAGTAGTAGTGAGCTTAGTGAAAATTGTAGCCACATTGAAAATTCTCACACTTATAAGAACATTCAATGACTGAAGCAAGTCAAACATGCATATAGGACTTAACAATACTTTACAGACCACACAAGTTCACTGATTTCTGACTTGGCAAAACTTTGATCACTTAACTGTATTATTATTCAAAGAGGAATTGCCCAACCTTCAGAAGACCAGATTTATAACTATGGGCTATTTTGGCTGGAATCCATGTTTACTCAATCCAATAAGTGTCTTTTAAACTTTACTGCAATGCCTTGTCCTCAGCAACAGTGGAAGCCTATTATTGCAAACAATCTTCTCCACGAATGGCAAAATTAAGACAGTTAATCTTACTTTAGAGGTTGAAGATAATGTAGTGCAGCTCAATCAAGAGCAACAGAACACTTTTGATACCATAATGCAGTCAATCCACCATAATTGGGGAAAGACTTTCTTTATTCACAGTGCTGGAGGTGGGGACAAAACAGATCTCTGTAATACAATCAATATTGGTATTGGTTGCTACTGTTCAAGCAAGAAATAATCATAATGTTGCTCTATGTGTAGCATCCTCTGGGATTGTACTTGGAGGGTGGCCACATAACTCATTTATGCTTTGGAATCTCTATTCCTGTACAGAAATATCCACATGCAGGATTCCAAAAAACTCTGACCTCCATGAGGTTTTGAGACATACTGGAGCTATTGTCTGGGATGAAGCACCAATGCAACATTGTGATAGCATTGGATCATACATTGTAGGATGCTTTGGATAATAAGCTTCCACTTGGAGGCATTACAATGGCCTTTGGAGGAGACTTCTGCCAAACAACACCTGTTGTTCCAAGAGGATCAGGACAACATATTATTTCTGCCTCTTTTAGAAGGTCACAACTGTGGACAAGTATCCATGTCTGCTATCTCACACAGAATAGGATCATACTCCAGAAAATGAAGCCTCTGCTAGCTGGCTCCTTCATGTTGGTGGTGGTCGTGGGATTGCAGGAGATGGAACTATTCAGCTCCCAGCTGCCATATCCATACCAGAAGACAGAACTCTGGCATTTCCGAAGGAGTTATTCTCTGGGCCCAAAACCCCTGAACCATTGGTATACCCAGGATTACATTCCTAGGGGTCTGTCAGTTGGCATAACTCTACACTCCATTCCCACATGGTACTCCGGTTGTCCACTCCAATACTCCTGCACTGGACTTGTAGTCCACCATACATTTCTCCTTGCACGTTCTAGTATTCCTCATGGACTCTGTAGTTAGACCTTATGATACACTCCTTGCACATACATTTTCCTCTCGCTAGATAATTGTCCACATGGAACTCCATACCTACATTACAGGTTACTTCTTACAAGCTCCTGCTCCCCCAACAGTATATAAGCTGTAACTCCTGTACTCTATTCCTGCAGTTCAAATATCAACTAGATTCCCTTGCTTTGTTACCAGTCCTTTTCTAAAGTCCTTTCTGATCCTTCTCCAAAGGATCTTTAATCTGTAACAACCAAGAGTGAATTACTCTGGCGCACTCAGAACACACTATAGAAGATAATGGAAGATGGGGAGTGGGTACCCCTGGGGCTGCAGTGAGTTAGTTGGTATACAACAGGAGGACTCGCTGAGGAGTCTCCTGGATCTATTGGGGTATATATACTACTACAGGTTTGTTTGTACATGTGAACTATACAGTTGATGGAGGCAGTGGCTGATGATGTCATAGGGCCTAGCCCGTATGGCCAGCTCCACTGCGTGAGAGAGTTGAATCTAAAAATAAGAGAAAGGCAACGCGGTGCGAGAAAAGGGAAATGCCGCGTGGCACTATGTGTGAAAGCTCAAGTATAAAGTTAAAGCGGAGAATGAAAAGAAGGGAAATGTCCAGAAATTGTGTTATCATAACACTACCCCCTTCTAAGGCTCGACTTCCAGGCGAGACCAAATGTCGGAGGTAGTGGTAAAATTTTCAGGCATAGGTTGAAAAAGAGAATGAAAAAGTTTCGAATCCATGCCTCTAAGCTTCCTGGGAGCTGAGGGATTCTTGGAATAAAATTTGTGAACAGTGTTGCGGGAGTTTTCCAGATGGGTTTCTGGTTCCCACATTCTGTCCTCGTCTCCATAGCCCTTCCATAGGACCAGGAACTCTAATTTACCACGCTTCAAGTGTGCGTCTACCACTCGTTTGACCTCAAATTCTTCTTCACCTTCCTAGGTGACTACAACCGGTCCGGGCCGGTCTACACGCTGTCCCGGCAGCGGTCCTTTGTAGGGTTTCACACGGCTAATGTTGACCGTGGGTACTACCCTCATTCGTTTTGGGAGTTCTAGCTCCACCGCATTGGGTATGACTTCCTTAATCCGGTAAGTGCCAATCCACTTTTCGGTCAGTTTTCTAGACTGCCGATCTTTTAATTTTAAGTGGTCGGTGTCTAACCAGACCAGGTCGCCGACCTTGTAATCAGGGGCCTTAGAGTGTCTACGCTCTGCCCTGTCTTTCATCTGCTCTGCAGTTTTAAATAGTGCCTTGTGCGTTTCGTCTAAGACAGACTTCATGTCTTTTACCATGTTCCCAGCAGCCTTGTTTTTGCTTTTGCCAGGTTCTACACCCATTCTGGGGAGGTACAATCTAGTAACCTCAAATGGTGCTTTTCCTGTAGCCAACGACTGTTTGATATTGTATGAGAACTGGGCTATCTTTAGCCACTTGGCCCAATCCATCTGTCTGTCATTAATAAATATCCGGAGATACTGTTTCAACTCCTGGTTGAGTCTCTCCGTTTGTCCATCAGTTTGCAGATGGAACACCGTTGATAATTTGGGTTTGATGCCCAGCATCCGGCATATTTCTTTCGTAAATTTGCTAGCAAATTGTGGTCCTCTGTTGGAGATAACCATTTCTGGTAACCCGTGGATGGACCATACAAAATCTTCAAATAAGTCTGCTGTACCGGCAGCGGTAATGGTTTATTGGTAGGTATGAATACTACTTCTTTGGAGAAACAATCCACTACTACCATTACTGAATCATACCCGTTTGACTTGGGCAGATCCGTTGTGAAATCAACTGATATATCCTGCCAGGGACCAGCTGGTATCGGGTTCGGCATTAGTTTATCGGTCGGCGGTTGGTAAGAGTTCTTAGCCATGGCACATCTTAGACAGGATTTTACGTATTCCTGTACGTCTTTGACCATGCCAGGCCACATATAGTTTCTGGAGATCAACTCCATTGTTTGTTGCCACCCAGGGTGCCCTGCCACTGGAGTGTCGTGGTGTCTATCTATTGTCTGGATCCTTGCAGATTCAGACACATAGATTTTGTTTTTAAAATGAAAGAGCCTGTCTTTCCATAAATAGTTTTCATTGCCGTCAAGGTGCGCCTTCTCTTCTGAGGAGATGTCTTTCTTGAAGACTTCTAGAAGATCGGAATCTTGCCCTATTCTAATATTGGCAACCCTTGATTGATCTATCAAGGTAACACCTTTGTTGTCATCTTCGATGCCATTGGCATGATCCTCTCTTCTGGATAAAGCATCTGCTTTCCCAATTGAGCTTCCAGGCTTATGAATTAATTTATAATTAAACCTTGACAAGTACACCGCATAGCGGGACTGTCTTCGGTTCAAGTCTCGGGCCGTCATAAAGTACTCTAGGTTTGTATGATTGGTCCAAATTTCGAATTGATGTCTAGCACCTTCTAAATAGTGCCGCCAGTGCTCTAGAGCTCTAATGATGGCCAGCATCTCCTTATTGTATATTTGATAGTTGCGCTCTGTAGGCGACAAACTATGTGATAAATAGGCACAAGGCCTCCAAAGATCGCCAGGGCATTTGATTGATAGAACAGCCCCAGTAGCAAAATCAGAAGAGTTGGTTTCTAGCCAGAACTCTTTATCTAATTCTGGAAATGCTAATATGGGCGCTGTTGTAAATGCCTGTTTAAGCTTATCAAAAGCTTCTTGTTCTTTGGCGCCCCAATGCCAAACAATGTCTTTTTTTGTGAGATCGTTCAACAGTCTCGTGATTTTCGCAAAGTTTTCAATAAACCTTCGGTAGAAATTACCTAAGCCAAGGAAGGCCCTAACTCCTTTGACACGAGTAGGTTCTGGCCATTCCAAAATAGCTTGAACTTTCTCAGGGTTCATCCTGATTCCATTCTGGCCTATGATCATACCAAGGAAGTCTACTTCCTTCACTTTAAAATTACATTTTTCGGGTTTGACGAATAGGTCCCGTTCCTGTAAGCGTCGAAGGACTTCTTGCACAATTTTGTCATGCTCAGCCTCATCGTTTGACTTCATAGATATTAATAAATCGTCAATGTAAATGACGACACAGTTCTCCATATCCGCAAAGATCTCGTTAATCATGCTCTGAAAGATTGCCGGTGAATTGGTCAACCCAAAGAACATGACAAGGGGTTCGAAAGATCCTCGGTGGCACGTGAACGCGGCCTTCCAAGCATCTTCTTCTTTGATTCGTACATTATTGTATCCCCATCTGAGATCCATCTTTGTTAAGATTTTGGCGCCAGCCAATTTGTCTACTAGCTGACTGATCAAAGGCAGCGGATACGCATTTTTAACCGTGTGCTCA